ATACAGAACGGTTGCTTATTTCAGAATTTTCATTTCACAGGGCACTGGATTCTTTGAACACACTCCCTTCTTCTCTGTAAAAAAATCAATAAAAAAAATATATATATATTTTTAAAAAGCTATGATAGATTATATTAATGTCTCTGCTGGGTATAGAAGGAAGAGGAGGCTGCCTTTGTGTTTCCATTGCAGGATTCCAAAGAGAAAGATGAAAAAATATTATTCTCATTAGGGTATATCAATAAAATGATCATAACCACGGGGGGATATTTGTATCTTGTTGACCCAATAATTCCATTTCTTGGAATTTACTATAAAAAAATGCATGAAGTTTTATGTATTAGAATGTTTGTTGTGGTATTATTTAAAACAGTAAAAATATCTAAAGGATTAAAAATAGGAGATGAGTCTTATAAATTATGGCATATCAAGGTAATGAACTATTCTATAGACTTGAAACATTGTTTAAAAATACACACCCAGCACAATGTAGGCACTCAATAAATGGTAGTTCACTTAACTGCGATGTTCTGGGTATTAAAGAGCTCATGTGTGTAAATGTACTCACACTATAAGGTGCCTGGCAAACACTAGGTGTTGCCAGCTACCCTGATGGCTGTCTCTCCAGTCTACCCGAGTCAAAGATGTGCTTCCAGGCAGAACACTGTCTAAGGGGCCCCTGGCTTGAGAGGAATGGGAATGGGGGAACTCACTTATTGGGGAATCTGAATCAAGCGATTGGGACTTTCCTTTCCAGAAGACTGCCAACCCTGGTTCCACACCATGAAGAAAACTATGGACATTCTCCCCAGAATATGCATATACACATATTGGACTATAATCATGGAGTCTTTGAAGCAATGTTAGTCCTGCTAACTTGATAAAAGTAATAGACACTATTGCATCAACCCTTGTTGAATGAGCAGCTACTGAGTATCAGGCACTGTCCTAGGTGCTTTACACACATTATTTCACTATATTCTCTCCACAACCTTAAGAGGTTGTTCATCTGCATTTCAGACAAGGAAAGTAGGGCTCAAAGAGGTTAAGTGACTCACCAAGGTGGCACAGCTGATAAATGACAGCACTAGCACTGAAACCCAAGGCTGTCTGCTTAACGCATACTACATTTATTTTATTTTTTGAAATATATTTTTATTGATTTCAGAGAGGAAGGGAGAGGGAGAGAGAGATGGAAACATCAATGATGAGAGAGAACCACCGATCAGCTGCCTCCTGCATGCCCCCAACTGGGGATCGAGCCTACAACCCAGGCATGTGACCCTGACCGGAATCGAACCCGGGACCCCTCAGTCCACAGGCCAATGCTCTATCCACAGAGCCAAACCAGCCAGGGCAATACATACTACATTTAGAAGGACTGAAAAGGGGTATATTGTGTGAAGATGGCACTGAGACTCACATCTGGAGGAGCCCCAGAAAAGTAACCCTGTTCTTCCAATGCCCGTTGGATTGTAGACAGACTTAAATCCATCCAGGCAGAAGCAAAATCTCTGAAGAGAAGTAGGCCCATTCTGAAGTCTTACACCCCATAAGTTTTTCCAGGTATCTAACCTCAAACCTTTCTGCTAACATCTGATCCTTTTCCCTCTCGTTTGCAGTGGAGATGGTGAATACCTGACATGGAAGGCCCTAGGTCAGGAGGGGATAGAGGAGCTTCTCCTTCCCCAGTTCAGTTGAGGCCATGACTAACACACTTCAGTCCCTTTGGTCTCTTGGGTCTGCCCCAAAGTACCAAACCAAAGATAAGCAAGAGAAAATGGGCCAGGAAGAAAAGCAGAAAGAAATAGCCTAACCAGACCAAGACCAGCTTGGAGGATGACCTGGGAGTCCCTCAGGATCTTAGTGCCAGGAACAGGTGAAGTTAAGGTGGGCAGTTTTAGCCACCAGGCTCAGCAGCCAGCTTTGCGTTTGACATCTACCTAGCTGTGGAGGTCTGGCCAGCATTCCTCATGCCGGAGCCTCTTGCCTATCTTGACATGACATCTCTATAGAAAGGAGGGGGCTGGGTTCTGCCACTCAGTATTTATTCCTCCCATTTCAGTACTACCTCGATGAACTTGCTCAGAGCTAGGCAGTCCAACTGGGGGCCTTAGAGATGCCGGAGAAGAGAATAATCATGTGAGAAGGATGTTGGGATCCCAAGGCTAGGTCTAAAGCTCTTTCTCTCAACATGAGAGCCAGGAGGGCAACTGAAGCCTGAATTTGGATGCAGACTGGGGAAGGGAAGTCTTACCCTCCCTCTCTCCATCCTTCCCTCCTCCATATACTATTCTATCCTTCTGGGGCCAAGCATACCCACTGTTCACTTTGGTTTCCCTCACCACCTATCCTATGGATAGGAGAGGGTTAAAGGCATGGTATGGGCAAGCTATAAATTTCCCATCGGTGTGGGGAGAATAGGATGGTTGGCAGGGAGGGGGCTGGGCTTGGGGGGAAGGGGAGCTGGGAAAAAGCCAGGAGGTTGTCTCTAGGTAACAATAAACACTGCAAGCAAGGAGCAGCTGTTACACTTACTCTCTCTGCATCACAATGCTGAAATAACACTAATAAACCAGTGTGCCCAATGCACAGGCATACACGCATTTAGGGCCGGACTCCACAGTTCCCCTAGGGCTGCCCTCTGCTTTGGGTCAGGCAGGGCCCTTGGTACCAGTGGACATACCAGTCTTGGCCTGGCTATCCTTGTGGGGAGGATGAGTGTTTATGGGTCAGTTTCAGAGTGGCAGCCTCAGAGTCAGGAGAGTAGCAGAGACTTGGGGACTATGGGTTCAGATCCTGATGGAAAGAGTTCAAATAGGATAACTCTTGAGTGGGTGTTGGGAGGAGAGAAGGAGAGCAAGAGGGAGAAAAGTATAGGGAACAGGCAACTACTTACCACGTCCTTAGATTGGAGGGGATGAAATGGCCAGGAGTGGAGTTGAATGAAGGGAGGTGGATGATAAGGAGGGCTAAGGAGAGGTTTGAGAAAGAGGAGAAGCATAGGGTAGTGAGGAGTGATTCTTATATTTCTCTCACTCACTCTCTCACTCCTTCTTACTAGTACATCTCACCGCACCTGGTGCAGCCCCTCACAGCACCACTATTATACCAGAGCCAGGTGAGCTTTATTTTGGGTGTCCCAGTAGGGACCTGAGCTCCTGATGCTGTCAGGGAGAGCTGGGGAGTGGACCTAGTCCCATGTTCCTATACAAAGGGCAGTTGGTCTCTTCCTTTCTCCAATCAAATCCATCTCTGGAGCTTCAGGAGCATCCCAGCAGAGAGCCCCTCTCCCCAGTTAGCGAGCAGGGTCACCAGCAAAGAAAGCAATAGAAATAGACAGATGAGTACTTGGACTCTATCAGAGAAGTCCTCTCCTCTTAGCCCATCCTTCTCTGAGTTTAGAGGGAGGATAATAATTATTATGCATTTGGATCCTTGCTTACCTTTGCTGGAACAAGGAGGCCTCTGGCACTGTGCTCAAAGGCATGGCTGGTTCTCTTGGTCCATCTTCTGGCCCCTCCTGCTGTTGTGATCTCAAATATAGCACCCTATCGTTCCCGATTCAGAAAGGATGGCGAACATGCACACTGCCAAGCTGGCCTGTGTGAGAGAGAGAATCAGCATCTGTGAGGATCATGGTGCCTATTTCCAGGGAAGAGAGTACAGAGACTACGTGGTCTTACAGTAATGATTTAAAAAAACATAAATTCTTAGGTCCTGCGGTGTCAGCTGGGTACCAAGAGCTCTGAGCAGGCAAGTGAGGGCTGCAAGAAGGTGCTCTGTCTGCCTGGGAAGCCCCTTTTCTGGATGATGCCCAGGAGCCCTGAGCTGTCCAGCACATGCGGATGCCCAGTACCTTCTGTGCCGCCAATGGTTACAAAAGAGCAAGAATAATTGGCCCCTCCTATCCTTGCCTCACTGAAGCCTCTCACTGGGATGCTCAGCTTCTCCTGTTCTCTTTCCTATTTCCCTCTCTCCCTTCAGAGCGAGGGCCTCTCCGAGTCCCCACAATCCAGATAAGAGACCTTTATTTATCCACAGAGCTCACAGTAGGGGAGAAACGGGCAAAAGAGAGCTCTAACAGGCCTGGGTCCCCCTCCTTCCCCCTGTTGTTTTCATGAGCCTCCCCGCCCCCCCACCCCATGAGTCACCAAAACCTTGAGCTCAGCTGAGCTGCCAGCAGCCTTCTCCCTCCCACTACTCCAGCCAAGCAGATATGGCCCCAAAGGGTCCCAGAGCCCATCATCTTCCTGCTTGCAGGGCCAGACCCCCTCCTTTATCACCAGGAACCTGCAACACACGTACATTGAGGTGAGTGAGCAAAGGAGTGCAAGAGACCTCAGCCTGTGCTCTGTGCTGAAGCAGAGAGCCGGCTGCCTGGACGGAGAGCAGTGTTGCCAGCCAGGAGGTCAGGCCCACTTGGCCATACAGTCTTGAGAGCATGTGAGAGGGGGCGCAGGAAAGAATGGGGTAAGGAGGTTGTTTCAGAAGCAGGAAGCTCCTCTTGGATCCCTCTCTAGTCAGTCTCTTCTGGTGCTGATGGACATCATAGCACTGTCACCTGCGAGATGCCTCCTTCCCCTCCTCCATGGCTTTGGGAGCTAAAGAGAGGAATGTGGTGACGGACACCATGGGACTGTCACCTCCGAGAAGCCATCCTCTCCCTCCTTCACTGCATGCTCTTCCCCACTGCTCTGTGTTTCAGAGGAGAAACAGAGGCTCTGTAAACAGGAGCCACCCTAATAAATCCCCTGAAAAATATTCAATATGAACAGCCTGCCATACGTTAGGCAGCCAGCTTCACAGGAGGGACTACAGGCCTCTTAGTTCCCAAACTGTCCCTATCTTCTCCCCGTTTTCAGGCTTCTTCCTGATCCCCCAAGAAAATCTTCCTTTTCAACTCCCTGGCACAGTTCTACTCTACCCTACCCCGTGCAGGCCCTCAGAAGCAGTGGAGGAGCTGTAAGGATTCTTTTCAGACTGTTTAGGGGGACTTGAGGGGGTCCTTCTTAACTTGCTGGCAGGAGAGAAGGCAGAGAATCAAACAGCCAAGAAGGTGACCCTGAGGGTCTAAGGACAGGGCAGGGTGAGGCTGGGGACACTTAGAAAGGAATATCTTGCTCTTGCCCAGGGCCTTTGAGATATAAAATGGGGACTAAGATAGAGGAAAAGATAATTCTGGGAGTGGGGAAGGTGTTGGGGGTTGTGACCAAGTTTCTACCCACACTGCTTTCCAAGCTCTCTGCCCATTCTTGCCCTAATCCCAACTTAGTCTCATGAAGCACAGAACAAAGAATGTTAAATGTTTTGAGGAAGGAAGAAGACACCGAGAAAAGCCACCTTTGGTAACCTGCGGGAAGTCCTTTTTCACCTTCCTGCTCTCGCTTCTCAACCCCAGTGTCTGGATAGTGAAGGAAGCAGGAGGTGGGGGTGGGACAGCAGGGAAGGTGCCCTTTTCTCCAGTGCGGGCCACCACACAGAGCCAGACGGGCCTGGCTGAGAGCTCTGGGGCCATGGCACCACATGCACACAGGGCAGGGGCGTTTCTGACTCAGCCTTCAGAGCTGGTAGTTCCATTCCCACCCTGTTCTCAGCTTAGACATGGACAACAGGTAGAAGACCATTCCTCAGTACTTTTTTTTGGGCAGGGGGGAGGGGCTTAATTTTCTCTAGCAGCTTATATTGTAGCAGGGAAACTTGTGATAAAAATCTCAAAAAAAGCTCAATATTTAGTCATCATTGAGGGATTTATTTCTAGGTCAAGAAACTGAGGTAGTTGGTGCATTTCCTTCTCTGTGGACCTTATAAAATATGGTAAAATCTCATGGAAGTGGGGGTGGAGTGGGATCTGTCTGCCTGGAAGCACGGGGATACATAAAATAATCTTTGGAATAGGCTGTTTAAGGGAAATGTCCCCGAGTAGTGCACCTGCCTTACTCCCCTGAGTTGCTTCCAAGACTCAGGGGCCAGAGACAAGAGACTCCAGGCGTAGAGAGTAATATCCTGCCGACACTCTTCCCAGGACTTTCCACCCCACACCCTACCTATGTACCTTTCTCTGTGCTCCCAGGAGCTCTCCAAATCCAGGAACACAAAACAACACCAGGACAGGATTCAACTATTTCCCACCTCTGGCTCTCTGTTTCCACAACTATAAAATGAAGAGTTCAGCAAGATGAGCTCCAAGTTCTCTTCCTTGCAACAGTAAGGTTCTATGATTCATACCCCAAAGGCACAGTCCTCATTTGCATGCTGTTTTGCATGTAATTTCCATGGCACTTATTTCATGTCTAAACGTACAGAAATATCTCTGAACCCTGCCCTTATCCTCTCTCTCACCACAGTCTCTGGTTCTATGGTCCCTAGCTCTTGTCCTCTCTCTTCAAAGCTCTGTCCCCACCTTCCTTTCACTTCACATTATAGCACTCACTGGGACAAGCCCAACTGGACAAAATCCTGGGAGCAAGAAAACAGCCTTACCTAATATTCTGGCTGCAATTTTGGGCCCCAGGCCTGAGTCAACCGGTACAGTTCCATCCTTTTTGAAGCTCCTGGCAGTTGGGGGTAAATCCTGGCACCTCTCCTCAGTGCCTCCCCTCTTCCTCCACCTCACTATTCTCCATGCCAGAACGCAAAGTGGCCAGTGATTGATGGGCCTGGGTACCCGGTAACCGCACCCAGTGGCCCAATCCTCCTCCCTTACCCGATCCCTCCCCTGTCCCTATTCAGAGATCAGATTGTCTCATGTTGGTCCCTGAGGTCCCATTAATTAAAAATACATCCAATTAAATGGCAGGTGAAAACGTGCTATTGGAGCTCTCCACCCCCCTTGCCGCTTGGTCCC